GCACCTGTCTCATGATTTTGCTCTATAAAACTTCCTTTGAGAAATGGGCTCATTCAGGATCCTTCCTGTCTTTCAGGAGCTATTCCTATTCCCCATTTTCCCCCCTATAAATTTTTCTACTCTTGAAAAGAAAAAGGAGAGAGACTAGGCTTGGCAGCATATGCCAGTAATCCCACCACTTGGGTGGCTGAGGCAGGAATATCACTCTGAGTTTGAGGCCTGCCTGGGCTACAAAGTGAGTTCAAGATCAGCCAAAAAAAAAATCAGCCTAAATTGCATAGTGAAACCCTGAATCAAAAAGGCAAAAAGATCCACTCCTAGCCCAGGCCTGGTGAGTGTGTGGGAGAGCTTCCGGTTACCCTGCGCTGGTGAGACCTACTGGTCCCAGCCCAGGCGCAGCATGGGTGAGACCCTCTTCCACCCCCTTGGGATGCCCGCCACCACTCCGCAGCACCTCCCCCACCCCACCCACCAAGTAGGAATTTCTGCCGCATTGCGGGAACCCCCAGATCCAGTCCTAGCCCAGGCCCAGTGAGTGTGTGGGAGAGCTTCCTCTCCCCCCTACTTCACCTTGTCCCCTCCAGACTCAGCTCAGGCCTGGCATACAGGCATGGGGTGAAACCCTGCAGCTGCAATCCCTGCAAAGAGTATAGGGGACAGAATCACCCAGCTAGTCCAGAAGCAGAACATCTTGCCAGAGGGGCACAACAGGTTCACCCCAAGGGCAGCAGAAGGAAAGAGCTGAGCACAGCAGCCAGACCCAAGCCAGGCACAACTGGATAAATCTAAACTTTGTAGAGCTGCACCTGAACTTCAGTAGGTGCTAAAGTTATAACTGCACCAAAGCTCTACAACAAAGTTCAGAAGACAGTGCTACACAAAATGCCAACAAGAAGGAGCAAAATTCAATCTCAGAACCCAAGCCCACCCATAACAAGTGCAGAGGACACTAACACAAAACAAATTGGGAATCACACAGCTGAAATTCATGAATCAATAGCTTCTGAAATAAAGAAACAGCTGCAGAAAGGTATAGAGGAACTCAGATTGGAAATGAAAAAAGAAATCCCTGAATTAATAATATCTGCACTAAAGAATCAAATGCAGAAACATATGGAGGAAACCCAATGCCCACCCAGAACAAGTGCAGAGGACACTAGCTCGGCTCAAA